TGAATAAAGGTCGTTCTCCAAACATCTCCCGAATGTTCCCCGACGTTCCCTTCGTGGGACCATGGGGAACAAAATATTTTTTTTCTTTGCTACAGCATGATAACTTAGTTTTCTGCTGATAACGCAGGATCTATGAGGCCTGTACGGACAAATAAGCATATCGATGGATTCGTGAGAATGAGATCTTTTTATTGCAATAGTTAAAATTATGATTGGAGCATAATTGATGCTAAAATTAAAGCAAGTTCTGATTTTACCCCATTTTAGGGGTGAAAAAATTGACTTTTCATAAGTTTGACCCGATTCCGCATTTCTACGCTTTGAGACGAAGAGAATAAGTCCTCGATCATCAAAAACGGACAACTTTGATTTTTCGACCCAAAAAAATGGCAAGTGGTACCCCTTTCCATTTTTTTGGGTCAAAAAATAAAAGTACTCCGATTTTCAAGTTTGACCACTCATTCTCTTCGTCTTAATGCGTAGAAATGCGGAATCCAGGCACCGCCCGGAAAAATTTACTTTAACACCCTCAAAATGGGGTAAAACTGGATACACATTAAAACTCATCATCCCCTTCACTTTAAACCCTTATAACTTATGAACGGACGGTCCAATAATCATTTTTAGGGACGTTTTAAAAACCTAAAAATCTGAGCTATCTAACGATATCCATAGATTTACTGGAAAAAATTTCTTTCACCCTTAAAATCGCTAGAATATAAAAAAAAATCACATTTTTCTGAGAGTTTGCCAACTATTTTAGCAATTTTGAGGGTGAAATAAATTTTTTAAATCTTCTTTATGGATATGTATCTTTAACTTAGATTTCGAAGTTTCTAAATACATCCTTAAAATCATCATTCGATAACTTGTATAAGAGTTATAAGGATTTAAAGTCGGAGTAAGGGTAAAAAAATGATCTACTTTCGACTTCGGATCTTCATAACTCGTGGAAAAATTATCAGACGATGATTTTAAGGATGTATTTAGAAACTTCGAGTCTAAGTTAAAGATACATATCCATAAAGAAGATTTAAAAAATTTATTTCACCCTCAAAATTGCTAAAATAGTTGGCAAACTCTCAGAAAAATGTGATTTTTTTTTATATTCTAGCGATTTTAAGGGTGAAAGAAATTTTTTCCAGTAAATCTATGGATATCGTTAGATAGCTCAGATTTTTAGGTTTTTAAAACGTCCCTAAAAATGATTATTGGACCGTCCGTTCATAAGTTATAAGGGTTTAAAGTGAAGGGGATGATGAGTTTTAATGTGTATCCAGTTTTACCCCATTTTGAGGGTGTTAAAGTAAATTTTTCCGGGCGGTGCCTGGATTCCGCATTTCTACGCATTAAGACGAAGAGAATGAGTGGTCAAACTTGAAAATCGGAGTACTTTTATTTTTTGACCCAAAAAAATGGAAAGGGGTACCACTTGCCATTTTTTTGGGTCGAAAAATCAAAGTTGTCCGTTTTTGATGATCGAGGACTTATTCTCTTCGTCTCAAAGCGTAGAAATGCGGAATCGGGTCAAACTTATGAAAAGTCAATTTTTTCACCCCTAAAATGGGGTAAAATCAGAACTTGCTTTAATTTTAGCATCAATTATGCTCCAATCATAATTTTAACTATTGCAATAAAAAGATCTCATTCTCACGAATCCATCGATATGCTTATTTGTCCGTACAGGCCTCATAGATCCTGCGTTATCAGCAGAAAACTAAGTTATCATGCTGTAGCAACGACAAAAATATTTTTGCCACATTCCTACATTTTTATTGATGTATTGAAATAAAACATTTTTAAATTCGAGGTTTACAGTGTTAACAACTGGTAGTGATTTTCTTTCAGAGCCACGGACATGGAGATGATATTGCAAGTCAACACAATCAGTATAAGGAATATTGATGAGTAAGGTAAATAAATATACCAGATAAAACAAGGCTGAGTGATCAAATTTAAAAGTAATTTATAAAAATTTGAAGATGTAACAAGCAGAAGCAATCTCTGCGTTATTTGACACGTGCGTGACATTTACTAACGAGTCCTGTTACCCAGCCTACTATCTGCGTTTCGTTCCACTTTTCCTAAATTTTCAGAGGTGAAAAATGGAACTCACTAATCAATCTTTTCTGGTCAGGTTTTACAATCGTTCGACAAACTAACTTTTTCGAGAGTTTAAATGGCCTCGTTAGATTTCAAAAACAAGGTTACACTGTAATTGTTACAGTAATAATGAAGTTTAATGGTTTATTCGAGTATTTATTATCGATAATAGAATTATGGTAATTCTTTTAGTCTAGGATTAATTATTGTTTGTTCAAAATAGCCATTAATCCAGTAGCAAAAGATTACATTGTTATTACGAGATTAAGGATTAAAGCGAGTTGCATTATTTTGCGTAAATCTATTCTAGATTATTAAACATAATTGAAATAATTACACTAATACTCGCTTTTATAACTCTTAAAAAATAAAACAGTGCAAATCACTGCGAATATTCACTTCATTTAAAATTTTTTTTCTCAACATTTATTATTTAAATTAAATTGATTTTAGTAAATATTCATTTATAATGGTCTGAAAAATGAGAAAAATGTGATAAATTTTATGCTAATGACTTTCATATTTGTCCACAATAAATAAAAAAAAATGAACTCTATATTATTTATTATTATTAAACAACTCTTATTCAGTTGAAATAAAATTATTGTAATTTAAACATTAACTCCTCTGTTATTTATCACTTAGTATGATTAATAGTAAATTCCAGTTTAGTAATATTCTTGAGAATAATTTTTTAAATTTTTTATATCGATAATAAAACTGATAATTAATTTTTTTTGCCCTCATTACAAATTTTCCATTATTTGTCTTTCCATATAAATTGATAATGTATCAATCCAAGGAATAAATGTGCAGTTATCGTATTGTTTTGACTAAAGACCTTCAGATAAAAGTTATCAAAAGACAACTATACTTTGGTGGAAAAATACGTGTGACATAAACATTGGAGGTAGGTAACTCTAAGATCATCACTACTGTTGTAATATCCGATTTTCTTTAGATTGCTTGAAAAATAGTCAAGGATGCTTTTGTGAACCATACTGTGGTAAAACTGCTTTTAACGAGTTTTCCCGTTTGTAGGATCATTCAAAGAGCTCGTGTTCGTATCATGCTTTCATTTTTACGAGGTCTACTTAACGTAAACCTTTTATAAAAAATGAAACTTTCCAGTTTTTATATGAGTACACGTTTCATGAATACGAATTTCGTTTTTCAATCATGTTAAGTATTATTTCAAATTTATTGCATCTCAATAAAGGATAAATTTTTTATTTTTAGGAAGTTTATTTAAAGATGTCGCAGTAATGAAATTATTTACACTAAATAAATAAATATTAAATGTTTGTTTTGATTTTTATTGAAGCTTCATATTCAAGTTGGATCAATAATTGAATTCAACGGTTGGATAAATTTTAAATGTCCAGTTATTATTTAAAATGAACACTCGAACTAATTTTAATACTAATTATAGAGTGAGGATAATTATGATTGTTCCAAAAGAAAAGTAATAAAAAATGACATTAAAATGAAATAATACAGCTAATGATTAAGAGCAATAAGAAATAATTTTCTGCATTAACATTTTTTGCATTTCAATGAATTGAAAGTTTTAAAAAAATTTATAAGATGGTCGAAAATTTTCCAATAACTGAATTTCATTATCTGATTTAAGAACACTGAAATTATTATCGTGATTATCATCAAGCTGTATTTATAGATAAAATTAGCAATTTGGAATTGTCTTCTATCTTAATCCATTAAGAATAATTTACATGTTTAATTACTTCGACAGTATTATACTTTTTCTATTAATGAAATAATAATTGCCTTACATTTCTCATTTTATGTTTACTTTAATTCACTAATAAGTAGAATAACATAAAAATGTTTTTGCAAAATTCAAGTACATTTTGAAACTTGTAATGAATAATGAAGATTAATAACAGAGGAAGTTAATTATACTCGTAAATTGCCAAGAACTTGGTAGGTAATAACTTAAATGAATCTCTGGAAAACCTTAGAAATTAAAATTGCAGATTATTTTTAAAATAATATACTTTTTCTTAATAAAATTTGCAAATGAGATAAAAAATAATATAGGCATTAATTATTTGCATAAGTATAAGCTTTTAATTTTATTTACTTAGATCACTTAACATGCATGAATGCTACCAAAATGCATGACGTTCTACCTTCATGTTTAATACATACATCTAATTACGGAAAAATTTCACTGAAGCTTCTTAATTGCAAAACGAAAGAGGAAACCAAAATATTTTCTCTACGAGTATTGGTTTAGTTTAGAAAACGATGTGAGAGAATAAAAAGAAGTAAAAGAAAACGACTCTCTCTCTACTGAGGAAAAAAGTTAGATTTAAGTCTCGCTATTTTCTCAGAAAAATGTGATTTTGAGATTGAAAGGATTTTTCCAATAGGAATCGGAGAGATATTTGTTACTCGAGCTAAACGTGTCAGAAAAAAGTCAAGAATCTAAGGAACACTTCAAGTGTGCCAGAAGTACCTCAACGTTCAATGCACAGTGATTGAATGCGTTCAAAATAATCTTTAATCTGTACAAGAAAGATTACTCTACATTTCATAAAGACAGAAAATCTCAATTTGTGATAAAAAAAAATATTTAACAATAATTTATATTCTCACTAAAAATACAAACATGTGTCTTTTTAATTGATTAAATTGTCTTGAATTAACTCATAATAACCCAATTAAAATTTATCTAATGTGTTCGCATGTTCAAAGTTACCCAAGGACTCTTACATCACTATTATTTGCTAGATAACTGAATTTAACACTAAAAACAATGATTGAGTTCATGCTTATGTACGCATGCGTTTTTTTTTTAATGTATTTGTTTACTAAGAGTTTATTTCTCTTTGCCTTGGTATGGTCTATATAAGTATTAGCAACAGATTAACCTAGAGTAGTTGAACAAAATGTTTCGTTGGATCGTAGTATGTATTTTGGTCTCAACAACAATCAGAGTTGATGCTGCACCTAAACCAACAAAAGAATGGTGGAAAGACAGTTTTATTTACCAAATATATCCTCGAAGTTTTATGGATAGTAATGGTGATGGTGTGGGCGATTTAAATGGTATAACGAGCAAACTTCAACATTTGATTGACTTAAATGTGAGTGCAATATGGTTGTCGCCAATATTCGAAAGTCCAATGGTAGATTTTGGGTATGATGTTTCAAATTTTACCAAGATTGATCCTATTTTTGGTACTATGAGTGATTTTACAAATTTAACAGCAACTGCTAAAGCTTTAGGATTAAAAGTTTTGCTAGATTTCGTGCCAAATCATACTTCCAATAAGCACCCTTGGTTTCTAAAAAGTGTTAAGAAGATTAAACCTTATGATGATTACTACATATGGATGGACGGCAAATTAGTAAATGGTACTAGTGAGCCACCCAATAATTGGTTGAGTGTATTTGGTGGCTCAGCTTGGGAATTTAATGAAGAGCGTAATCAATACTACCTCCATCAGTTTGCTGCTGGTCAACCAGATCTCAACTACCGAAGTGCCGCAGTTAATACAGAGATGGAAAAGATCTTGACTTTTTGGCTGGACCAAGGTGTCGATGGATTTAGAATCGATGCCATCAATTTTATGTTCGAGGATCCAAGGTATCTTGATGAACCCAGGAAATCAAATGCAGGAGTTGATGAGGATGATTACGAGGGTCTTGTACACATTTATACGAAAGATCTTACGGATACTTTTACTATATTAAAATCCTGGAGAAAACTTATTGATACTCATGGAAAAAAGGCACCCAAAGGTGAACCTAAGATCATTCTTACTGAAGCTTATACTCGTATGTCAGAAATAACAAAATATTATGAAGCTGGATCAGATGTTCCAATGAATTTTATGTTTATTGATCCTCTCAATAGATACTCTAGTACGATGGAATTCAAACGAAACATTGATGCATGGATGAATTTGGTACCAAAAGGTCACGTAGCAAATTGGGTAGTAGATAATCATGATAACCCTCGAGTTGGCAGTAGATATGGTGTACGAAGGTCTGACGAGCTTTCAATGCTCTCGGCAGTATTACCAGGAATTGGAATTATTTATTACGGTGATGAAATTGGGATGTTGGATAGAAACATGACCTGGAATGAAACTGTGGATCCTGCAGGTTGTAATTTAGGTCCTGAAAAATATCATTTAAAATCAAGAGATCCTGTTAGAACTCCATTTCAGTGGGATAATTCAACAAATGCTGGGTTCTCAACTGCTAACAAAACTTGGCTTCCTGTTCACGAAAATTATAAAACACTCAATTTAGCTGCTCAAAAGGCTGAACCAGTGTCGCATTATTCACTTTTCAAGAAACTTGTCGCTTTAAAGAAGATGCCTATCATGAAAACAGGATCTATGGAAGTGATTCTCGTCGGAGAAAATGTTCTTGGTGTAGTCCGGAGATTACCTGATATTCCTCCAGTTGTTTTACTAATAAACTTCTCAGAAACAACTGTTGTTGTTGATGCAAGAACTTGGATGAATATTCCCGAACAACTGACCGTTTATGCGTCCAGTGTTGGCTCGAATATTCCATCTGAAGTGACAATGGACACGACGGAAATTAATTTACCTGGAGCAGCCTCAGTTATTCTTTCTGGACCATGATTTTTTTATCTCGTTACTACTAATAAAATTTATTACTCTAGATTTATTTTTAGTTCAAAATGTAGAACAATGCATGGATAGAATCACAATACAACCTCTATTTTTGCCATAAATAAATACTATTATTTATCTATAATACTATTATTTAATTCAATTCTTGATATTAATAAAAAATACTTCAAAATATTATCAAATAAACCTATTAGTACTATTTCTAAAATTCTATTTTTTAGTTTATATGAAAATTACAATAAAAAGCATCCATTTCTCATCAAAATGTATCATATTTTATTCAATATTTTTTATTTATTGTCTATCGTGTGCTTTTAAAGATTATTGATTATATTACGAATAGAGAAACATTCATTTAGAATAAAGGTAATATAGCATTCTTTCATCAAAAATGCGATTGAATCATTTTAAAAGGAATATTTCCAACTTTCTAATGATATATGAATGATTGATATGATGGAAGTTTTCAAAGTTTTACAATAATTAAATTACGAGCACTATTAATTTAAAAAATTCATTGAAATGAATGAATAAATATTAAAACTAATCTTAATATTGTTTCACCTTAAGAAAATGTTTCTCTCCGTATTTCCATTTTCTGCTTTACCATTCAATATTTAAATAATCATTTAGAAGTTTCTAGTTAATGATAAAATCATTTAACATTTCTTCAACTTTAATAAAAATCTAAAGGGAATTTTATTTAAAATAAATTCTATATCTTTCAATATAATATTCTGAAAAATCAAGAAATAGAACAAAGGAAGTAATTATTTGATATGACTACTATTCTCCTTTTCTTTCCTACGTGATATCTTCTTTAGCTATTGGTACATACTTATTTGGACTTATCTATTCATGTAAATTTCTAACCAAAGGCAAAGCAAATTGCTTCCCTCTTGGCAACATAACATCTATAAAATTTCTGCCCCATTCGATACTTTCACTTCTTCAGATTGAAGAAATTCTCTTATCTAGCGAATTTATCTAAAAAGTTTCAAAGATAGCAGCAGCAGCATGATGATGGGCTAAGTGATTTAAACGTTATCGCAAATTCGGTCGTTTAGCGTATCCGAATCTCTTATAATCAAATCACTTGACATCAAAACCATTCTGGATATTTTTTTTATTAAAGCAGAACACTTTAAATAAATTGTATCACTTACACCAAATATCCATAAGATTAAACTTATACTTTATGATGAGAGAATTACATGGGATCGAAAAATGGAAAGGTTATTAGAGGCACGCGATGACCATCGGATAATTGGCTTTAGTCGTTTTGAAAGCTTTGCATAGTAGTGAGTAGAATGAATATCGACAACGCACAGTATTGCCTTCACCAGTTTGCATCACTAGGACACAACCAGACTCAAATTACCGCAGTGCGGCAGTCAATAGAGTAATGGGAAATTCTTTAATACTCTACTGCTTAATTTTTTTTTCAATAATAAAATACGTATTACAGTGACATCCTTAGGTAGAGTCGACATAAGAACCAGGATGAAATATTCTAGACTTAATATTCTCTGGTAATTGATCTTTAAGAGGAAATATCTGTCCACATGAAGCAGTTTAGCATTAGTCTAATGCTAATGATGATATTGATGGTGATTTAATAGTCATATTTCGATACACTTGATGCTTTTTTTTTCATAAAATTCATTTATATATGAAGATATATAATTTTAATAAAGTATGTCAGCTTTAATATGTCAATGAGTTCCAGTTTATTTTCATGTATTTCATATCTAAGTTTACTAGTGAGTGGTTGGTAAGATAAGAAAATGCTTCTGTTTTCTTTTCAGAATCGATACCAGACTGTCAATAGGCTTAAGATTACTGAACTGTTCTATTTTATGTAGTAAACAACTTGTAGTTTTATTCAATTTGATTTCCCTTATTTTTCCATTTTATTTACCCAATTGTGTTGAATTTATTCTCTTTTTCATTTCTAAAAGTATTTCTCTACAAGTAGTATAAAAATAAATGAATTAAATGTTATTGTCATCTTTAGAATTTAATAGATCAAAATGATGGAAAAGAATAATTAATTCACTTGTAATTTTAGCTTGGATCTTAAAAATGTAACTTGATAAGTTCAATACTTCATCTATTTTAGTATCATGAATATGAATAATTCATGTATCTTGATAGTTTTATCGATAATCAATTATATCTAAAGATATTCACATTTGAAAATTATTTCCAGCCTTTTGATTCTTGAGTACATATCTGCATCAAATCAGCAATAAAATGTGTCCTTTACGTTGATTCCCATTTTCAGCAAAGTCATCAATCGATCAAGTTTGAGGAGAACTTTAAATGGTACTTTGACTGATGGATCAATAGCATGCCAACATGCGTGTCAACTAATTGGGTCAACGGAAATCATGATAATCGTTGTGTATAACATCAAGATTTGGCACCAAACGTGCAAACCAACTATTTGATATTGACAAGTATTTCAGGTTGGATACAGAAGGAATAAAATTGGAATGAGAAATGCTTTTATATTTTCTAGTCAGACGGTGTGGATGGTACTGAACAGAAAGTATTATTGTAGATCGAGGAATTGTAGGAATTTTTTTTTTTCAACTGAACAATAATATAAATTCAAGATTTCCTTTAAATAATTCTAAATGTAACTTCTCATAAATTCTCATGCTACAAAAGCTCAAACTGAATGAATCAAAAAAGCAATAACCCGTCACATAATTTCATTTTTATAAAACATTTGAGTATTGGAGAATAGAATAAATGTAAAGAATAGATTGTTAAATGCTTGATACATGCATCATATGACAATAATTCTTGGTAGTTTACGATACATCTATTCTATCTTATACCAGTTGTTCTTTTGATTAATTTCAGTAATCACCTATCACAATTAATGTCGCCATATGGATGAACGTTGGAATATATACTATCTACATATTGAATATTTATTATGACGTTTCTTTTGACTGACGTGTTGATTGAACGAATGTCCATTTACCAGAATTATATCATTCATTACCACTGTATTTACGATCTTATTATTGCTTTTATCAAAGATGATGATTAATTGATCAACGTTTCATTTCCTAAATCAATTAATATTATTTTTTATGACTTCAATAATTATTTGGCAGAATAGAAAATGATTATCACTGTTAATAAATAAAATGATGTTGAACCTAGAATTATGCATGGATATCATTATTATAAAAGAATTTATCAAGACATTTGATAGGATTTTAATCTGATATAGATTATGATGAAATAGCAATCTATTATGATACGCATTATTAAATTTTTTAGAACAATGCATGTACTGGCCAGTAGCATTGATTTTTTCATTCAACCAACAGATATTGATATTTGAATTCCACGAAGGTCTTTTGAATTGAATTAATTGATAAAAGGTGAAATTTTAATTAAATCAAAAATAGAATTGAGTTTAATACCAAAATGTGTGCATTGCATAATTAAATATTTATTGGCAGAATAATAATAATAAAAATACAAATATGATCAGCTAAAATTGTTTTTATTTGAAATACAATTCTTTTAAGTGAAAAAAAATATCATTTTAAAATTTTGTTAATAATAAAGTTATTTTTTTTTTTATTTCAGTAGAGAATATTAACTTTTTACTTCTATAGAACTTATACAAGTTGAATAAATTTATAGACACTAGAAACGGTATTTTAATTCAACTAAAAGTTAATTGCAGTGCAACAATTATTTAGTAAGTTTTTTAAATTACTATTTATTCGATTTATTGCTACAAATTTTTTTGCATATAAAAAGCAGTATGACATAGTTTTGATATAACTTTTATAATTTACTCATTGATATCAAAAACTTTATCTTAATTTGAAAAAAAAAGTTAATTGCATCGCTAAGTTTAGTTACAAAATTATTTGTATTCTGCAAATAGCCTTTATTATCAAGTTGAGTGTGTGAGAATTTCTCAACTTGTGAGTAAATTCATCATATTGGATTGACGACCATATTTGATTGCTTCGAAAGTTTGATGCATTTTAGTGGAGTTCTTATCAAGAAGTATAATTTAGTTTCAAATACCAACGATTATACCTATAATTACTTGGTTTTGAACGATAATACAAGAGTATTTCATTTATGGTTACAAATTTAAATTTTTATTTGAGTTTTTTTACCTTTGTTTAATCTGCAAAGATTCCATGAAATAATAAATATCAAGATAACTTGGTCTTATCAGTCTGGGAGCATTCCTTCGAGTACTTGATTTTGATTAAAAACTTTTATAAACTCATTACGTGACAGGAGATATAAATGAGTGAAATTATAGAAGTAAGTCATAGTAAAGCGAAATGTCGAGAAAGTTAGTATTGTTGGTTGCTTTACTGCCCATTATTCAAGTATATTCAGCCAATGTAAATTGGTGGGAAGATACATTTATTTATCAAGTGTATCCACGGAGTTTTAAAGACAGTAACGGAGATGGAATTGGTGATTTAAACGGTATAACAAGTAAACTAGAGCATTTAAAAGCTCTAAATGTCAGTGGATTCTGGATTTCACCAATATTTGTAAGTCCTATGGTTGACTTTGGTTATGACATAGCTAATTTTACGGATATCGATCCAACTTTTGGAACTCTCAAGGACTTCAGTGCCCTTGTAGCAAAAGCAAAGTCATTGAATCTTAAAGTAATTTTAGATTTCGTGCCAAATCACAGTTCAGACAAACACCCTTGGTTTCAAAAGAGTATTCAAAGGATCAAACCCTTTGATGATTATTATGTTTGGAGGGACGCAAAGATGGTTAATGGAACACGACATCCACCTAATAACTGGTTAAGTGTTTTCCATGGATCAGGATGGACATGGAATGAACAACGTAAACAGTATTACTTCCATCAGTTCACCCCACAACAACCTGATCTCAATTACCGCAGCCCTGCACTATACCAAGCCATGAAAGACGTTTTAACATTCTGGACTGATCGAGGGGTGGATGGTTTTCGTGTTGACGCCATTATTCACGTTTTTGAAGATGCTAGATTTTTAGATGAACCTGCTATACCTAACACTGGACTTCCTGTAGGTCATTATGAGACACTTAATCATATTTATACCAGAAATCAAAATGAAACCTATACATTAGTGAATGATTGGAGAAAACATTTAGACTCTCGTCCGGGTGGCAAAAAAATTCTTATGACAGAAAGCTATACTGGATTACAAACATTGCCATCATCAATGAAATATTATACCGCAGGTGCTGATGTTCCTTTCAATTTCATGCTCATATCAAATTTAAACAATCGATCAACGCCATTAGATTTCAAACGTGCAATCGACGGTTGGTTAAATATCGTTCCTGCTGGATACCAAGCTAATTGGGTCGTGGATAATCATGATAATAATAGAGCAACTACTAGATTCGGTAGAAAAAGAGCTGATCAAATAATCATGCTGGCTGCTATTCTACCTGGCGTTGGTGTCATCTATTATGGGAATGAAATTGGTATGGAAGATACTTGGCTCTCATGGAATGAAACTGTAGATCCAGTAGGATGTAATGCTGGTCCTGAAAAATATTATCTTACTTCGAGAGATCCTGAAAGAACTCCAATGCAATGGAATAATTCCACCAGTGCTGGATTTTCTACCAATAAGACCACATGGCTACGTGTCAATCCTAATTATAAAACACTAAATTTAGCAGCTCAATTAAATGATAAATACTCTCATTACAGTGTTTTCAAAAGACTTGTTGACTTAAAAATGTCATCAAAAATAAAGAATGCATCTACTGAGGTGATTATTGTTGGAGAACATGTCCTGGGAGTACGTAGAAAATCGGGTAATGTTATAACTGCATTGCTCATCAACTTTAGAGATTTAACAATACCTGTTTATGCTGCGGGATGGATGAACTTGCCAGAAATCATGACTATTTATACTACTAATCATGAATGGATGATTCCCCCAGGATCTACATTAAATACTACACTTTTCAATATACCTCCATCTGGTAGTATTATTCTTCAATCAAATGGTTAATTATTGTCAATCAACAGATTTATTTACTAAAATTAAATAAATAAATGTAAAAGAAACAACTCATGTGTTATTTATATTAAATTGTTTAAACTTATCTGTGTTAGAAAATTTTATGATTGTATGATTGAATAAATGAACATTGAAAGTAATAATAAAAAATTTTTAATAAAGAAATTCAATGTCAATGAATGTTTGCCTTTTTTTGTAAATAAGAATTCAATGTAAAATAAAAGTTGATAATTAAATAAAATAATTTTGAATCTATTCATAAAAAACCACCTATAAAATATAATAACTGAAATGTATCTCGTGAAATTGAATAGCGTAATTAAAAATTCTTTTGTCATAATGAAAAAAAAAAAATATCCAAATTTTTTCTCGTATAAACCAAGATTAGAATTTTTTTATTTTCATAAAGTTTTTCATGAGCATTAATGGGTGAGTAATTCTATGAAAAGCGTTGAAATATTATTCGCATGACGGAAAAAAAAATATTTCTAAGAATATGAAAGAAAAATGAAGAATAATGAATTATTCATGACTATCCACAGATGTGCTTACATATCCATCATTTTCTCAGCTATTGTGGGTATAAGTATAAAAAGACTGGCAAACAATAAATACTCTAAGTACGCTTACAATGTTAAGTAAGTCAATATTCTTGTGCCTTGCGATTTCAATTTTGGATGGAGCCTCAGCTGCTCCTTCTGCACCACCTGGTCCTCCATCAAAACCATCCGAAATCGCTAGAGAATGGTGGCGAGATTCATTTATCTATCAAATTTACCCTAGAAGCTTCAAAGATAGCGATGGTGACGGAGTTGGAGACTTGAAAGGTATCATCAGTAAATTAGATCATTTCGTTGACCTAAATGTAAGTGCATTTTGGCTCTCACCTATTTTCAAGAGTCCAATGGTAGACTTTGGTTACGACATTGCCAACTTTACGGAAATTGATCCAATTTTCGGTACAATTGACGATTTTACTAAATTGACTGAAGAAGCTCACAAACGTGGCCTTAAAGTTATCCTCGATTGGGTTCCAAATCATAGCTCTGATGAACATCCTTGGTTTGCAAAAAGTGTTAAAAGGATAAAACCCTATGATGAATATTACGTCTGGAAGGATGCTAAAATAATCAATGGTACTCGGCACCCACCAAATAATTGGCTAAGCATCTTTTTAGGATCCGCTTGGGAATGGAATGAAGAACGTAAACAGTACTATTTACATCAGTTTGCACCTAAACAACCAGACCTTAATTTCCGCAGTCCAGCATTGAGGAAAGAAATGGAAGAAGCTTTATTATTCTGGGTCAATCGTGGGGCTGATGGCTATCGTATTGACTCAATAATATTTATGTATGAAGATGCACAATTCAGGGATGAGCCAGTCATTCCAAACAGTGGAAAACCAGCAGACGATCCTGGTAATCTTCGTCATATTTACACACAAGATTTGAATGAAACATACGATCTTCTTTTATCATGGAGAAAATTATTGGATTCTGTTGGTGGAGAAAAACGTATCATTATGTCTGAAGCCTATACATCTTTACCTAATATAATGAAATATTATAAGTATGGTTCTAATGTGCCCTTCAATTTCATGTTTGTGACTGGCTTGAATAATCGCTCAAGAGCAATCGATTTCAAGCGTAGTATTGATGGCTGGCTTAATAGTATTCCTAAAGGCGATTATATAGCTAATTGGGTAGTTGATAATCATGATAATCCACGAACTGCAACTCGATTTGGAACAGCAAGAGCTGATCAAACTTCAATGCTTGCTGCAATTCTTCCGGGGCTCGGTGTGATTTTTAATGGAGATGAAATTGGTATGGAAGGACTTGATATCCCATGGGACCAAACAGTTGATCCACAAGCTTGTTACGCTGGACCTGATAGATATAAGGCAGTTACACGTGACCCTGAAAGAACTCCTTATCAATGGGATAATACCTTGAGTGCTGGATTCTCAACTAATAAAACTACCTGGCTACCAGTTAATCCAAATTATAAAACACTCAATCTAGCTGAACAAAAAAGAGTACAGTCACCTACATCTCATTATCATATTCATAAAAAACTTATTGCACTGAAACAACATCCAGTTGCTAAAAGCGGAAGCACAGAAGTGATTTTAGTCACGGAAAATATTCTAGGTGTTGTACGCAGACTACCAAATGCATCACCACTTGTTTTATTGATCAATTTCTTAGACCAGCCAATTAAAGTAGATGCAAGTGCTTGGATGAATATTCCACAAGATATGACTGTTTATGTTGCTAGTAATAGTTCTGGCATTCCATTTGGAGTTCATTTAGATACTGCAGCACTCAATTTACCAGCCTCTGCCTCAGTAATTTTAACTTAATTGTTATTTATGTTACTATCTCTTGCTGTAGAAAAATGACGCAATAAAAAAAACATATGCATTACATAAGTGAATGTTTTTTTATTTTCTAACTGAACCTGAAATAAAATAACTTCCTCGATGTGCCACAAAACCTAACTCCACGTCAATCCTAATTATGTGACTCTCAAGTTAGTTTTACAAAAACTTGAAACTTGTCTCGTTACTCAGTTTTCAAGAACGCCATGTCTCTCAGAATTCATCTCATAATGAAGACTGACGGCTTTGTGGTCATTGGAATTAAAGATAACACTTTTGATTCTGTAAAAAATTATTTAAATTAATTTAATGTGTTTAATAATAAATTCATCTTTTATCATTAATCATAAATAAAAGAAAATGTTAGATGTGATTTGACAAGATGAGAAAAACAAATCTACAATAATTAACTAAAATTATACATAATTACTTTATAAAATTGTTACGGAACAAACATTTTGTTTATTGAGTAAATAAAACTAACAACTGAGCGCATTATATAAAGTTAGCACAGCAATCGTCTTCATAAACTTAAAAATAATAATCGAAACTATAAAAGTTGAAATCTTGACCTTCAATTTTTTATTAATACATTGTATTCTATCAACAATAGATTAACACTTTTAATTTCTACAATGATCAATAATAAACAGGAAGTATAATAAGAATGTATTCCTTTTTGATCAAATATATTTATATAATAAATCCATTAATTTAATTCTGATTTTAATAGTAAAAGAAAGAATTCTTCAAAGTGTTTGTAATAATTAACATTAATTTTCAAAAAAAAAACTCTAAACTTGTAGTTATACTATCTTATCTTGTTTTACAGGAATCAATTGATTAGTGAATCTCGTTAATTGATTAGAAGTAAGTAGGTAATCTTGAAGTGGTATTTTTTTTTATTTTATTCGAGATAAAATCAATTTATAAGCTGACGAATGTCAGTGTGAAAAGTCATAGTAACTTGAAAGATGTTACGTACGTCAGTATTTCTGTGTCTCATTCTCCAAGTGCTAGGGAAGTACCTAGCTTTTCCTGACACACAAGCTGCGACCGACGAATGGTGGAGGAATACATTCGTCTATCAAATTTATCCGCGAAGTTTTAAAGATAGTAACGGTGATGGAGTTGGCGACTTAATTGGAATTACAAACAAGCTTGAGCATCTTGCTGATTTGAACATCAGTGCATTATGGCTGTCACCAATCTACACCAGCCCTATGGTAGACTTTGGATACGACATTGCCAACTTTACTGATATCGATCCCACTTTTGGCACACTTTCTGACTTCACGAAACTCGTATCAAAAGCTAAATCTCTCGGGCTTAAAGTTGTTCTTGACTTTGTACCAAATCACAGTTCTGACAAACATGTATGGTTTCAAAAAAGTGTTCAAAGGATTAAACCTTACGATGAATATTATGTATGGAAGGATGCTAAGATCATTAATGGAACAAGACACCCACCAAATAATTGGCTGAGTATTTTTCAAGGATCAGCTTGGCAATGGAATGAACAACGTAAACAGTACTATCTTCATCAATTTGCTGTTGGACAACCCGATCTCAATTATCGAAGTGCTGCTCTGAATGAAGAGATGAAGAATGTTTTGAGATTCTGGCTTAATCGTGGAGTTGATGGATTCAGAATTGACACAATACCTAATTTAGTTGAAGACGCTAGATTTTTAGATGAACCTAAAATTCCAAATACTGGTCTCCCAGATACTGATCCTGGAACTCTGAGACATATCTACACAGCAGACCAAAATGAGACTTATGATGTGTTGAAATCATGGAGAGCAGTTCTCGATGCTACAGGTGGATCGAAAAAAATCTTTTTGACTGAAGCCTATACCAGTATGAATTATTTGATGAAGTATTATCAATATGGATCAAATGTACCATTCAACTTCATGTATATAGCAACTCTAAACAACCGTTCTAGTGCATTAGATTTTAAATTCACTATGGATCAATATTTAAATAACATTCCTCCTGGATTTTCTGCCAACTGGGTTGTAGGAAATCATGATAACCACCGAGTGGCATGGCGGTTTGGGGAAAAAAGAGCAGATCAACTGACAATGATTGCTAGTGTAATGCCTGGTATTGGTGTTTTATATAACGGTGATGAAATTGGTATGATTGATCGACCTATGAGCTGGAAAGAAACGGTAGATCCAGCAGGTTGTAATGCTGGACCAAGCAGATATAACATTACATCACGAGATCCTGCTAGAACTCCATTCCAATGGGATAGTACCACAAGTGCTGGTTTTTCTACGAGTAATAAAACATGGCTTCCTGTTCACTCCAATTACAAAACTCTCAACTTGGCAGCCCAAAAAATGGACGCATTGTCTCATTATTCTGTTACGAAGAAATTAATTGCACTCAAGAGAAACCCTGTCGTTCAAAACGGTTCCACCCAGATTATCCTCGTGGGAGAAAATGTTCTTGGTGTCGTCAGGAGATTGCCTGGTCTTTCTCCAGTTGTTTTGCTCATCAATTTTAGTGATAAACCTTCAACTGTTGATGCTGCTGCTTGGATGAATATCCCTGAAAAATTAAACGTCTACGCAGGAAGTGTTGGCTCCAATATTAAACCAAACACTGTTATGAGCACTCATCCTATCACACTTCCAGGTGCTGCTTCTGTTGTTTTAGTTTGATTGATTATAATTGATCTTTGGATCTTTCCCATTTTTACGATAGTTAAATGTATGTTTTTATTTTAATGCTCATGATGATTAGTACCTAATAAATTCAATAGAAATAAATAGATTCAAATAAACTAATTTGATGAAGAACAAAAACAAGTTTCATTTATACATTTCTTCCTATCCTAAAAAAAATATCTTATTATAAATTCTTAATCATTCATTAATTTTCTATGAAAGAACAGTGTATTGATCACATTAGTAAAGGTGAGAAAGAGAGAAACTGTCCCGAGCAACAGACTTTACTCTTGATACATCAGCTTTAATTTGTAAGGCACGAACATTACGTTACACTGATCATTGTCAGTAAATAACAAAAATAGTAATTATAGGAGTAGATAATAAATGATAAAATACTATGACTCTCTAATAAGTTTGACGATAAAAATAAAGACATGAACACTCACAACTGTTCAGTTAAAATCTTAGAAGTTCAGCAATGATATCCTGGTCACGGAACGGACATTAATCGATCGATCCGACTTTTCAGGAAGTTAGGATCGTTAAGCATTGAAGAGTGGGTGATACATATAGGTGATTGTACGTGTAAGAACAAAGCTGTAAAAGTACTTTCAGATGTTAAAGGTAGGTACAATCATGACTGAGTGTGTAAAAGAAAGAATACAAATAAAAAGTATAAGAAAAAAAAATTACCAAATAGAAATTCTCGTGTTCGTCTCATGCAAGACAACTGCTACGCTCTGACGCGCACCAATCACGCTGAGTGCACATTCTTCAACTACTCTCATGCCGGCCTGTGCAACAGACACCAAAGGTAATAAAGTCAAGAAAGAAATATATACAAAAAGAAACAAGAATATACGCACAAAACATGTCTGCTGTCATCTAAGCTCATTGCATATTCAATTTTTTTTCTGTCAACTTCATGACTTGAGTACAGTAGCTTAGAAAGCTCTATGTCTATCCAGATATGAAGTACATGGTGTTAATTAAGCTCCCGGATGCTCTAACGAGGCAAAAGTTGCTCATACAACACAGCATTTTGTTATCTTGTGTAATATTAATTATAATAAAAAATATATCCTGCACTATCATGGCTAAATATTGAATTTTTTTTATCAGTAAATGCAGATTTACTTCCTATCTTACTTTGCTGACTTAGTGTTATGTAATTTTGTTCTTTAGAAGTGTCAATATGTAAATCATATGCTTAACCTAAGAGACTTTATACTCATCTTTTTGGTCCTAGCCTTTCGACCAATATACAGGGATGAAAGAATCTTTGATAGAAAAAGTAAAAATATATGATTTGTATAAAACAACAATAATATCTATTGAATAAAAATTATTAAAATATTATCATAACAAATTAAACGTTATCAACTCACTTGGTCCAAAATCAAAAACCAATTTTAAATTGTTTTTATATTTTTAAAAACTTAAAAATTTACTATGAAGTAAAAAACATTTCAATTTTGTTCACTAAAAAGAATTTTCTCAAACTATTGCACTTTTTTTCTGAAGGTTAGCTATCCAGTAGAATAAAAAAGTCATTTTTGTCTTTAGATTCTGGTGGATCTGTAAGAAATGATTGTCTAACAATAGCTCGGATGTCTTTGAAAAGCTGAAAGTATCCTCTTACAAATCCTTTTATCGAATGTCTTAAAATGTTACATTTATATTGTAATTTCTTAGATTTTTTTTTTTTTGCCATTCAAAAAAATATTTTTGTTCCAATGGTGATCTTAAAATATTTCTTTAAAAAGTATGATAAATTTTGAATTATTCGCTTAGCTTTGATGTAACAAACAAAATTCGATAGAAGAATTTTTCAAGTAGTATATCAATATTCGAGCTATCCTTGGCCCTGCCATGAATAAAAGAAAACAATAATAAAATATACAAAAAAAATATTGATACTCGATATAGATTTTTTATGAATATTACACAATATATGAATATTTGAAAAAATATTTGTTCCAATTTTGCTGTGAGAATATTGAAAAAGTCCTCTTTGAAAGTTTTATTGCATTTCAAAATCAAATATAAATGAAGAATTTCATTCATTAATTTATATTAAAATTATTAAATTCTTTTTTCATTTTTTTTTTTTTCATTGAAAGTGAATATAAACCAAAAAACTAATATAAAATAAAACAATATAAAAAGATATTATTTAATTACGACAATATTACTATTAAACAAAATTTCAATTAATGTATTGTCGAGTATTTCATTTATTTTCTATTGAAACAGTCAATACCACATTTGATGAATATAAAAATAATAACTATGTAATATTGTAACAGTTAATTTATGAATTCAAAACATAATTTAATTACCTTGCAATTATGGAATCATTTTGATGACTTTTGTAAGGTTAATTAATTGACTAGTTGAAACATTATTAAGCAATTGCCCTAAATATTACTTATAATTACTCTCTTGATCAATATTATTTATGTTTATTTTTTATCGAAAAGCATAGATAATGATATTTTTAAGAAACAGAAAATAGAGTAAAGACAATAAAATGCTAAAGAAATCTCAACAACTCAACTAGAAAACGTACTAGTGATTTATATTGATGAATCGAGGTAGATTCATATCCATTAAGAGAAAATATTTCCTCATGTATAGACACATTATACTATTTAGTGTAGTGTCATAAACACCTTTTATAAAAATATAAAATGTTGAAATTCCTAAAATACTTTATTTTTATTCCTGGCTGTGCACGAATGACGATCAACCGTTTAGGGAAGTTGTTTTTTCGCCATGGGACCTCACATGTCAATAATTAAATCAATCCTATAGGTAAATTTATAGATAATCGTCGACCTCATTACCTACAGGGTTATCGTTTCCACATTTTTACAAGACTAGAGCAATGATAGATTATGTGGGTCTCAAAACTTGCCCACTTGTTATACTAAATTTCATTAAATTAATAATGGTATCCAGAAAGTATTCATCAGTGTAAAATTTAATTTAATTAAAAATTTGCATGTTAAAAAAAAACCGTACAATAATGAAGAGACTTTTTTCCAGTTGATAACGATAATTTGAATGTGATGAAAAATCGAGTACATCACATCCTTGTTAGTAGAATATTGTGTAACTAATTGGCCAATAAATGAGAAAAATATTGTTCAAATAACGTGAATTCAAGCATATAGACTTGGTACAACAATAACTTTTCTAATATATGATTCGATATTACTAAACGAAGAGGAAAGCCGACGAGTGGATGAAAATCCCATTGGATCATGGATAACCCACACTACTTTCATTGTGTTATCGAGAGTTTATTGCTTGATCGGCGAATTAACCTCCCCAGTTACTATCTACACATTTAATATCGCTCTATTTGAATTATCAATACTTGGTAAATTCGCATCGCGTCGACACATTAAATTGTCTACCATGTTTATTTGTTACCAACCTCCTCACGTGATGAAAATAATACTAGCCACAAAATATACAGAATTATTTTCATAACGCTACGTATCTCATAAAATGATAATAAGACTGTGCATGAAATATAAAGTAAGAGGAGAACGATGTTAGCATTAATTCTTATGGTTGTCATGGTGTCATACATTGTCTGTTTTATTTGGTAATATTACAAGAAAACGAGGATGTCTCGTGAGAAATTACAGAAAGGAAATTCTTGTTCGGAATCTCTTCACTGAGCGATACGAGAAAGTACAAACTTACAAGCTCGAGCAACGACCGCGTCAAAGGAAGCGTTAGCGATGTACTTGTGGAACGAAATCAGTGACTCTTGAAATTGCTTTCAAGGTTTGTGCCTCTTTCGCTACCTATGTATGTACTTTCAAAGGAAAATTGCCAAGAATTTTGTCGACAAGCTTTACTTGTTCTCTCTCTCTCTCTTTATTACGAGTTTCGAATTCATTCGTAATTGAGATCGTGTTAAGAGATTCTAATAATTGTTTGAAGATTTCATCTACGCTTCAGTTCTTTCTTACCAATCAGTGCTTAATCAACTTTATACAGATTGATAAATATATATAGAAATAATTATACATGTATTACATCAAGAAAAAAAGGTGTTACTTTGAAAAGATTGTCGTGAATTAAATGTAAAGAGTAATTAAATTTATTTGTAAAAACAAATTTTTATGTTTCATAAATTATGTATATTTTTTAAATAATTTTCTATTTGAATAAAACATTTCCCCACGGTAAATCAAGTGAAATTAAATTCTAAGGTAAATTTAAATTCTTTGTAAAAAAAAATATGGATACTTTTCCAATTATGCATCTTTTTAAACTACATTTTATGGTAAATTAAAAGCAATTGTAAGAAATAAATTATCTTATAAATAATAAATCATTATGATAAAATGAATTAAACTCTACATTTTTAATTTATAATATTCCACGGAATGAATTGCATCTGTTTTGGTTTTGACTTAAAGAATTAGTCTAAGAACTGTCGCAAGTGAATTGTCGTCAGCCCATTATTTATGTGTCGACCTAAAAAATATTTTTATTCAGATTTATCTAAAGAAGATCTGGAAAAATATGGTTTACCCTAAAAGAGAATTTTTGTGGTCAAGACATCGTATTGAATACCACAATATGACACCCTTGTCACGCTTGATGGCCTTGATGACAATCTAGCACGCCCTACCATTTTTCTGGTCAACTATTGAACGTGATGAAGTTCGAATATTCATGTTTACTCACTTATAAGTTCAAAAGAAAATATCCCTTTGATATTTTCGCATTAACATGTGTATACGTATTGACAATGATTGAATAATAGAAGAGTAGAAACAGAAACGTGCCACATGGCACGGACTGTTAACTATCACCATATTGGCAAATAGTAAATATTGCTCCACCTAATTGTGTGCCATGTGTGCAAACGCCGATTTACACTGTGCTTCGACTCTCTGGTCGACACAAACTACAAAATGTAATTCCCATTCCCAACGTTGTCATCCCATTTCATCTTCACTCTATATTCAACCTTCATACATTGTGAAACAGTCGATGAAATTGAACGTATATTACTACTAAAACATTTCCTGATCCTTTACTTCTTTAAATAAAAATAAAATATAACATTTACAAAGATACTGGTTAATAAAATAATTAAATAA